ACAAGGGGAGCTTCTGTTGGAGATGTTAAATGCTCCCAGGCAGCAGAGGTGGTCGATCAAGGTTCCTGCGACCGGTGCACAGTGGAGGCAGAGGCGCTGATGAGGTCCTGAGGAAGGCTCTCGCGTGCTTCCTGCATCCGGCGTCGTGCTCTCTGGAAAGCCTCTGTAACACAGCAGGGGACAGCAAGCCAGAATGCATCAGACAGCCCCAGGGAAGGAGAAGGATGACTGTCTAGTGAACATCATCTCTCCTGGCCCTGGAGTCTCACTTCCTATTTCTAGGTGCCATCAAAAAGCACCTGGCCCTCGCAGCTCTCTTCATTTATTTCTAGCACTGTCTTTGCTCCGTGCATAATGGAATTGGAGGCAGAGCCTGTGCATCCACACCACAAGCTATGCTCAGTGCCCAGCAAGACTGGGCCCAGCCTAGGCTTTGTCCTCACGGAGCAGTTATCCCTCATGCCTCCTGAAGTTCCCAGCTCAGATCAGAACATTTAATCTCTGCTACGGACTCTGAGAGCTCATGATGCAGGGACCAACTATCCTCACAGCAATGGATTCTCCTGAAATATCCTGCTCTCTCTGTAAAAAAGGGGCAAATGTGAGCCAAAAGCCTACCCAAAACACTGTAGACAGAGCTCTGCTGGCTGAAGCCTCCGAGCCGGTCCAGGACACTCTGCATGCGCTGCCTCATGGCACTGGTTTCCAGAAAGGCTCTGCACAGAGGTACAGGAGGTCAGGGCTGCGAAAACACAGCACACGAGGTGGAGCTCGTACCCCGCTGCACTTACTTAGACTGCTGCAGGCAGTAAAGCCGGAACGTGACGCTCCCTGTTGTCTCCGTGCGAAAACCGAAGCGGCTCAGACGCTCGCCCTGCAAAGGCAGCACAAGGTAAGAGAAACCACAGCCTGCAACCTGCTGCAGCAGGCTGAGCCCAGGAGCACTGCCCACCAGCAGCACACACTCCTGTGGGGACAGCCTCTCCCTTCCCCGCTGCACACAGAAAGGGAGGTCAGAAAGAAGGGCTGTGCCGCGGGCAGGTCCTAAACACAAGCAAGCTGACAGTGCAGTGGAGGAAGGTTTCAACAACTGCATCAGGGTTTGTTCCCACACAAAGCTGCTGAGGCCAACTTGCTCATGACACCAGCAAGCACCTCTGCGGCTTTCTTAAGAACATGAAATCTCTGCCTGTCTAACACTCATCAGTGTCTTGCTTCACGGAACTCTTCCAGGCACAATACAGCCCAGATTCCTTACCAAAAAACAGGTAGAAGTCTGTACCTGGTAGCAAATGCTGACCTGACAGACACTTTTCAGACAGGGCCAGCACAGGCAGGGTAAGTCAAGGCTTTTGTCCATGTTCACCCACTTCTCTAGGCTGCACACACCTGAGAAGGCAGAAAGCTCTGCCTCAGCATTTGCCCATTCCTCTGTTCATGGCCACGAGTCTCACAGAGGAGACACTTCTTTACTCAGAGGGACGGGGCCACCACCTCATCCTTGTTCAAACCCAATCTGGAACGTCTGAACAGCCACAGACCTCTGAAGCTGAGGGCATAAACTACCATGTCCGAGCAAAAACAATGTCCCAGCAACTGAGCCCACCTGGAAGGTTGATGGTGTCCTGACGTAGGTTATGTCCTCCAGCTCAGGAGATCCACCGATGAAAAATCTCCTCAGCTCAGCAACTGTTCCCAGCTCCACAGGGCGCCAGGTAGGGATGGTGAGGTTATGGAGACCTGACCCAGGTCAACAGGACAGCCTTAGCAGCTATGACCAACAACCTACACAGAGTCACTAAGGGCAGCGTGGTAGGTGGATACCTGCTGACTCAAACCACAGTAGGCTGAAAATGGAAACAGTGCACAGTATCTCTAGATGAGTCAGCCCCATCAGTCACACAGTCAGCGTGGAAAGAACCGCCTGCCCATGAAGAGCATCTCCTTACTACACATGGGTATCAGAATGGTTGGAACCCTCAGACCCCATGTAGGACAGAGAGGGCTACTGCAGTGGTGAAGATGGATACACAGCATCACCCAGGAGCTTTATCACAAAAGATTTGGGGACAGAACCACCAAAGCAGCAAGAACAGCAACACTTGATGTGTCTCCACAAGGCAGGATGGTGCGTGATGCAACAAATCCTTCTTTGCTGCTCCACAGACACCTAACTATATCCTGCAAAGCCCCCCCAGGACCAGCTGAATCAATCCCCAAGAGAATCACTCAACTCATTCTGCCCAAGTATGTTTTACCTGGAGATGCTGGCAGCACCAAAGAACCATACCCTTCAACACGGTATCTCTGCCAGAAATCCAGGGACAGGACCTCAAAGTAGAGAATAGGCCACTGAGGGAGACTCTCTGCAAGGAAGAGGAGCAGATCACAGCTTTGTGAGGGGAAACTATCACAGAGGAAAAAAGTCAAAACACTAAATGCCTCCTACGGGTCTCCAAGCATTTCTTTTTTCCACAGTGAAACAACTCACAGAATAACTAGGCTGAAAATTCATTAGTGCTGGTTGAATACTCAAATCCAACACGTGCACTGGATTCAAGTGGCAAGGCATGCTGCAAAGCTGTCCTTAGCAATTGCAATCCAAAGAGCAACCGGGGTTGGTGAGGAAGCAGCAGTAGCGCAGTGAAGCAGCAGGAACAGGCAGCAAAGCCCAGCTTAAAACAGAGCTGGAAGTTTTAGAGTGACATAAACTATACAAAGATTACACAGGTCACTGAGTGTGTCTACAAAAATAAGGCGTAGCAAAAAGCTTCAGTCGTGCACAAAAAGGCTGCCTGTTTTTTCTGCTGTGGTATCCCAGGGCTCTGTGCAGCACATGGGGCATGGCAACACTGCCCAGCATGCCAGGTATCCTGAGACAGACAAGGGATCCAAGTTGTTTTGCAACTGGATATAGCTGACTACAGGCTGGAAGCAGAGCAACATCAATGCACGCATACAAATGCTAATGCAGTGCTGGGCAGGGCAAATACAGTATGTGTCCAGAGGCTGTGTGGTGACAGGGTGAACATTTGCTGAAAGATCAACAGTTCCCTTTGTTTAAATCTGTCCTTTCATCTTGGTGAGGGGCCAGCAAAGTGCCAGACAGCACAATGTCTAAGACTGCATCAAAAGATTTCAGTTTTATGTGTCAGAGCAATGAGGAAACACACCTTCTGATTCAACTCCTTGGGTGAAAAACATCTCCAAAGTGAAGAGGTAGCTGAAGTATGCCACGTTCTCCTAGAGAAGGAACAAAACAGAGATCAAATGCCTGGACAAGAAAATTCATCACCAGCATTGCAGGGGGGACAGACAGAAGGGAGAAAAGAAACAGGTAATGATGTCCAAACATCCATCACACTGACAAACACCTGACTGCACAGTGCACCTCCTGAGTACACTCCTGAGTGCCATGCAGATGGAATG